CAGCAATGCCATTACTGCAGCATGTGCTCCAAAGAACTGCGTAACTTCACTCTGTGAGCTTGACAAAGTCACCAAAACTGGCATGAGCAGAAAATTATCCAAGCCTGTGCAAGAACAGAGCTCTTTGTGATGATTACCCAGTAGGAATGATAACCAGGGGCAATCATATGACAGACAGAACTGATCAGATCATTGAAGGCCTGCACAAAAGGAAAAAAAAAAAAAACCCACTGCTGATTGAATAGCAGGAGCAGCACACAATAGAGATGATTAAACGGATGGTGGTAGACATGGGGCTGCAGGAATAGCAACTTACACATCAGAATCTCTGACTAGCAGAAGCTGTGAAAGTAAAAATAGATGCTAAAGAGCAGCTGATAAGAAATCAGAAAGAAAGGAATCTTGGATAAATGGAGTGTGATCAAGGCAGACTGAAATTAAACATGAACAAAGCAGGAGAGGAGAAAGATGGAGATATTCAGAACTTGGAACAATCTCAAAGGATTAACTAGATGATATATGAAATATATAATTACAAATCCAGAAGATCTGTGCAAAAAAGAATTGATTCTACAGCTACTGACAATAGGATTACACCATGGGAAGGATAATTCTGCAAGAACAGCTGATCACACAGCTGGAATTTAGGAACAGGAGGCCATGCAGATGTTTGCTTAGTAAGTGACTGAGAACCCAGCAAGTATAACTGTGGGGCAGCTGTGTACTAGACACCACAACCAGGCAACAAGAAATGATCTGAGGGCCCCAGGGCCAGGAAATACAAATAGAAAGGAGCAAATCATAAGCAGAATGGAAAAGAAAGCAATTGATTATAAAAACAACAGGACTTGACAACAACAGAAGTGGGGAGTGGGATCAGACAGCAAGAGTAGCTTACTGAACAGAGCTGGCATCAGACAGCAAATGCAGCCCATTAGACAGGAAAAGAATCCAAAGCCAGGCACAGTCCTTTGGCAAGAAGCACAATAACCCAACAGAAGCAATAAATCAGGCTTGACAAGATGAGTGGAGTCTCCTGCACTAAAAATGATCTGGCAAAGCTGTCACTAAGGAGCAGAGCAAGCCTGAGCAGTTAATGTCCAGCATGTTAATAACTGGAACCTGTTGCACCTTCCTCTGGTGTCATGACACGTGGTCCCTTCCTGGTGCAGGTTATTGGGAATGGGAAGGGAAGAGGCCATACACTAGAATATGACAATTATAATCCTTCACCAAGGCAAGGTCTCTGTCACTTTCTCTCACTGCTGTTGTGAGCTTGACTGGTTTGAGAGGATTATGAGTAATGATTAAATCCAGCAGCCTCTTTTTCTCTGTACCAAGCACCAGAAAGTGTCTTTGAACCTTATTCCTGCAGCTGGAAAAGTTCTGTTTAAAGCTGCAGCCAAAACCTTCAGTAAAATATTAGGAAGGCATTGAGGGAAGAGAGATTATAGGTCATTGCCTTTAGATATCATCTGGCCTAATGCACTAGCACAGCATATGACATTGAAAAAGAAATAGCACCAATACATCATTGATCCCTTAAGCATCTATGACTGCTATTAATTTCATCTTTCATTGGCTTATTCTTCCTGTACTCTTGCCAATTTGTGATGATTGTTTCTGTTTCTATAAATCACTGGAATGCCTGGAAACATTATAAAAATCATAGAGAAATGAAATTACATTTTTCATTCTCCCCTCTACTCCCTCCTCTTTCCCTGCAAAACCCTAGTTATACCTGTATGGAGGATTTCTCAAAATTTTTTATTTAATCTTTGATGGCTTGCATTATCACCAGTCTAAACCTTCAAGATAGTGGTTAGCAGAATTTATAGACCAGGGTTTTTTACTACAAGCTGGTGTGGCTAGCAGTATTGCCCAGTTCAGTGTTGTTTATCTACTGCAGACAAGAACAGCAAGGTAATTATTCAAACCCACACTGATCATGTACTACCCATGTTGACCTCTGTCAGTGCTGGAGCTGCTCATGACAATTTTCTTTGCAGTGAATTTCTCTTCTAACGCAAGTGACCTTATTTGTGTAGGTAGTTCACGTTACCTTTACTTCTTACACACCTTAGCATGCAATTCATCTGATTTCTCATATATCTAAATACAAGAACCAACCATATAGGAAAATGGAATAACCTTTAAAAGAACGTTTAAAAAAGAAAACAAACAAAAAAAGTATTGGGACTGGAGGGAATGCACTAATTGCTGATGCTGCAAAAGGTCCCTTCAAAAATTCCAGAAGAATTTAGCGATGACAAATTCCCTTGATTTATGAATAAGGCAAAATCTTAAATCCTTTTTAATTCTACTGCCAATTCAGTCTTCACTTTGTGTTTAACAAATAAACTAATGTGTGCAAATAAAGAAGAAAGCTATTTTCTGCTAAAAAAGGAGATTTTGGTTTCCAAGTTAATGGGCAATTGTAAACAGCAGCTACCTAGATATAATTTTTTATAACATGAATAGAACCATCAGCAGAGTGAAACTAGGGGAAAAAAGAATATTTTCTTCAATTCCTTCATAGTTCTTTTAATAAAAATCCTTTTGCAGTCTACAGCTTCAAAGCAGCTATTTAATAAAAAAAAAAAAAATTTATACAGCTTTTGGAAAAAGGAGAGAAAAGTAATAGCAACAATAATAAGATGAGATGTGTTATGAATTTCAGGAAGAATCAACCTCTCAAAGGAGAAAATGTTAGTGTCAGAAAAGGTCTCCATTCCATAGGAAAGGGAAAGATGCCTTTGGGAATATCTAGATCATTATACTTTCTTTAAAAAAAAACACCTACTGTGTTCTGCATTTTGTTTGTTTCGAGGGATACTTTGCTCACAACATTCTAATCTTCAGCAAAAATGCCATTATCCAAATTTGGAGAACTTACCTCACCCTCAGCTAAGGTCAGTCCTACTGGACCAAACTGAAATCCTCCCTCTCTACACTTGAATTTGCCTGGATAAAGCCACCTTTCAACAGATCCTTTCCTCCCCCCATCTTTGCCAAATCTCTGTATTTTCCAACAACTGTAGGAAGGTAAAATAACTGCACAAGGTCTCTCCTTACTAAGCAGCAAAACCTCCAGCATCTTCCTGTAGATAATCAATTCTGAAGTAATATAAAATTAAGTTCAGCCTCAGTAACAGTAGATTTGCACTGGTGTAAATCAGAGAACAATCAGTTCTAAGATTTTCACAATTCTGAAATTTTGCCAGGTTCAAGATATTGATTTTATCCTTCCGGTACTATAAATATTTGAAGGAAGAGCAAATACTTTGAAATGATGTCAGCAATCATCTAATACAGAAATGGAAAAGATTGTTTTCCACAGCAGCCCTTTTTATCTTGGGCAGAACTTTTTTGGATGATTTCAAGGGGCTCTTTTAGTATACACTCATGTCATTTGTATTAACATATTTTTGTTTCATATGTCTATAGTATTCCTGTGATAAACAGAAGTGTCATTCAAAAAGTCACCATTCACTCCATTTGTGTGAATTTATCATTTCCGTATCAGTGGTTGAAATTGTTATAAAATTCAGTTTGACCTCTGAGGGATTATAAATTCATCTAAGTTGTTGCTGAAACATATTTAAGAATTTTTTGGTACATCCTACATATGAAAAAATATATTATGGAAGAAATTTATTACTGTTTACACTCATGACATTCAAAGTGATTGTATTTATCTTAGTATTTGCAAAGGTTTTTACATTTACCTTAAAAACTGAAAAAACCTTAGCCTAAAAAAGAAGTTGTATCTGTCTCTAATGCAGACATTTCTGCATTCGCTGTTCCTGGCAGATCAGCATATGCATATTTATCAGATATGCTAATAACTCATACCTTGGCTAATAGAAGATTTGAATATTACAATATAAATGAGGCTTGCCCACAGAACTTACAGAAAAGGATAAAGAAACATCTTCAGGATGCTGTATGGCCTCATTATACTTGTTAAAATAATAGTAGTTATCATCTGAAATGTTTTCTCTCTAAAAGGAAAAAAAATGTAATTAACTTACATGAAGTGAAATCTCTTTAAATTAATAAAATGAAAAGATAAATTCATTTGAAGGGGAAAAGAAATCAAGAACAAACTTTATTAAATACACTAGAACCATTAATATTCATTTCACAGAAATAAATATAATTAGAAATGGTTGGCAAGCAAGAATGCAGAGATCTGTTCTCTCTGCACAATGGAGCAACTGTTCCATGATATTCTCTGTGAAACACAGCTTCATATATTTCATTGCAAGTAGCGTTCTGATACAGACTGCATTATAAAGTTTGTTGTAGTAGTTGTAATAGTTCTTCAGTTAAGAGTTTTAAAATCCAGCCTGAGTTCTTGCTCAAGAAAATGGTTCCATACAAGATTAAAAGAAAATATGAGCAGTTATTATTAATGGCACTCCATAAAGTGCTCTGCTTTATGCACTGCTCTGTGCTAGCCAGTCCCCTGGAGTAAATGCCTAATTTAAGCAAGGCAGAAGCAAACAGAAACTGAGTTCTGCGCCAATATTCAATCTCCACTCCCAAACTGAACATCTCTGGGATGAATCTGTAGGAGTGACTGAGAAACCTCTGCTGCCATAAAACCAGAAGAAGTTGTAGTCAGAAACTTCACCATGCTGGAGAACAGAAAGACACAAAACAACAGATCTGTGTTCCACCTAATGACAACACCTCATGGCTGACCCTGACAGAAAAGCACTGGAGGCTCACTGGCCCAGGGCAGCAGGGCTGTCACCAGCTGCCCTTCATGCAGCACGTGTTCCACACATGTTCCACACATGTTCCACACATGTTCCACACATGTTCCACACATGTTCCTCTCAGCCTCCTGCCCTGAGTCAAATCCTCCCCATGTGCTGCACTGCTGTACTGAAGCTTTAATAGACAGTACTCCAGAAAATATATTGATAAAGACTAGGGATAGAGGGAGGAATCTTTCCTTACATAACATTCCAGCCACCATTTTTCTGTACCTTCTCCATCTCAGAAGATTTTATGGCTGTCAAAGCTTGTTTAGCAAATGATGTTTTCTGACCAAGACGAAGAGAGTCCATCCTGCTTTGCCCCTCTCTTCTGCTCACACTTTCCACAGAGGTTTTGCAAACTAGTAGATCAAGCTGTAAATGAAAATAATATAAATATAGCCTCTAGTAAAGGCTGTCAATGTTAAACCGATCCCACAATTTTTCAAAGCCTTGCACTGGCTCTCCTGTGACTATACTGATTTCTATAATTTTTGGAGACAACCATAAAAACACAACGCTATCCAGACTGGCCACTTATAAAGTGATCTAAATTCTGTTTTGAAATATATTCACAAAATACTTCGTCTAATTATAGTAAATTATACACTTAAATGATCAGGTGAATCTATGCTTTCCTAAAACAAACATACAGGGATTAGTAAGGCGGTATATAAAATTCTGCTCTAGCTATCAAATCAACCAATTATGAGCTTTCACAGAATTCCCCCATATTTTTTTCCTGAATAAAAGAATTATTAACCAAATTATGCTATTAGATGCTATTTCAGTTTGTATAGCATGAATTGCATAGTATGTTTCATGTTAGTGTCAGAATTGACAAGAAAAGCAGGAATAGACAAGAATATTGTGCAATATTGCCAAACTACCACCACTATTGAAACCTTGACTTGTTAACTTCCTGAATAGATTTAAGACATGTCAAGATTGTCATAATCTTGACAAGTTATCTCTCACTTACATTCTTCTGCTTTCAAAAAAAAACACTTAAAAAAAAAAAAACAAGTAAAATGAATTTTCTGAAATATGGAGCATTTTTAAAGCAACTTTAGATACTTGAAGAGTCATGGACTTTCACACCACTGCAGATATTCATGGTTAAAAAGTGCTTACTGATAAACCACCTAAAATCCTTAACAGTATAAAGCTTCAAAGCAGTCTAAATTCTTCAGGCAGAATACCTATACATCAAATTTTTGTGTGACCTAGAGCCAAAACTTCAGCCACCCAATTCACAGTAGATTCATTATCTTTAATGAAATGCCACTGATCCACCCTTGGAGTACTGACCCATAATCTTTTTATACACCTCAGCTGATTAGTGCTGATTCTGCTTTCTATAACTATTTTCATGTATTATTCCACCTACTTTTCTGGAACTCACTTGCTCAAAAGTGAGAGAGATGCAAATCTGGGTCTTACTGCAGCCTAAGCACTTCTGCCTCATTGCAGCAGCTGTAAGAGAATCCCTGAAAGCACAGGGGCTAAAAACTCCAACCAAACTGAACAATGGCTGCTGCACAAAGAAGAAGAAAGAAATCCCAACACTGCACTGGTAAAGGAAAATCGACCAACAACATGCATTTACTCCAGCAGACCTGAATCTGCTTGTGAACTCACACCTACCATCACATTGTCAGTCCCAGCTGGGTGTGCCAGCTGTGAGAAATACCCAGCACATGGCTGGGTGTGCACATCCACTCTGGTACCTTGTAGGACAACCAATGTGCATCTCAGATCTAATTTATAACAGAAAATTACCATATTCATGTGGCCCTGACTAGCCTGTATTTCCCATCCAAGATCTCCCCCATCTCCTGCATGACCCAGGAATCCAAAGAGCATGGTAGAAATTCCCCATGTTGTTCTTACAACATATTCTTGATCACAATACCTGCATGGAAAAATGTACACTCAATATCTGCCCGTGAAAAAAAGCAAGTGGAGCCCTAGAAAACTTGGATTTCAAAGGCATTAGAAGTTCTCAGAAGCAAACTGGCTTTCTTGGCAACAGCCACAGCATGTGTAGAGCCAGCTCCAAATACTCTCAGCTTTATCCAGTCAACGCTGGATCACACATTCCATGGAAATTGAAGCATTCGGGAGTCATCTCAGAGTAAAAAGTGGAAAATAATCTTCTAAAGAAAGAAAATGTATTAACCTTCTTTGAACTCAAAAATAGCCGGGGAAATTTGATCAAAAGTACTTCTAGAGCCTTGATATACAAACAAAACCCCAAAACAACAGAGAAAACCACCAAAATAATGAAAAAAGGAGAACATTTATGTGATAATACAGTTTGTGTTAACTAAAAATATGTGAAAATCAGAATTAAAAAAGAAATTTAAAAAACCTACACACTCAAAATCATAACATTAGACTGGAAAACAGTTATAGGAAAACCTCTTTAACTTAGAAGTTTTAAATTAGCATTTTAAGTAAATAAAATAAAGATGTATGATGTTCTGAGTTCACTTATTCTCTTTATGGCATTGATGACATATGTGTTCAGCTTATTTGTGAAATAAAAGGCTCATTTTCTTCTCTTTTTGGCATTGTTGAGACAGTATAATTCATCTGTCTTCCTAAATGTTTCATACATCAACTCCAAAATACACTGCATTGCAGAAAACAAATCTGTAGAAAAAACATGTCTGCTAAATATCTGTTATGCTAAGGAGTCAATGTTCAGTGATTTTTATGTCTTGGAAAATGCATAAACTGTCATAAAATATATGCAAAATGCTGTGAGACCTCTCATGATGCAGCTGCTGTAAATAGCACCCAAACTCCTAATTGTGGGAGATGTAGAAATGGTACTTTTTCCTTTTAATTGCACATCACCAGTATAATCTCTTCCCTCTGCCTTTTTGAGTTGTTCACCAATAACAGTTAGTGGCAGAAGAGGTTCCTGTAAGCGGCACACAAACAGGGCAGGAGAAGCAGAACATATGCATGGGAATGTCACCATGCCAAGACCCAACAACTGCTGCTCAGTAAACAACACACATTTACAATATGCCAAATGTTTAAGTAAACTAAAATGTTACTTAGAAAGGATCTGTAAATCAGAGGCTGGGTCTAAGCTTGTCTTAACTAAGTATCACAGACCACTCAGTAATAATAAAATGCTTTAATTCCTGAACCATGGCCTGTCAGTGCCATGCAGCACGTGAAGGGCACCCCAGCAGTCCTCCCTGATCTCAGAGAGGTGGCAGTGCTCTCGTTCCTCACCATGAAGGAATCTGCTGTCGATTAGTTCTTCTGATACAAATTCTGGCAGTCTGAATATGTTTGAGTATGTGTGTATCAAAGTCTTGTCCACCAAATTTTGATTGGTGCAGACATACAAAACATATGGGTGTTAACCTGTTTTCCAACAGGGTATATTTATTTTATTTTATTTTATTTTATTTTATTTTATTTTATTTTATTTTATTTTATTTTATTTTATTTTATTTTATTTTATTTTATTTTAATTTTATTTTATTTTATTTAGAGACATTAGGCATTTCATATCATGTGTGCATTTTAATAAAAAAAGAGGACAATGTGATGTTTTACCTACCAGCCAATTTGTAACATAAAAGTTTCTTAATTTTGCTGTTTATATAACTCCTTATTGAAGAGACCAAGCTAACTTACATTTTAAGACTTAAGAGTAGAACAGGAAAAGAACCAGCTAAAGAATAACTATAAAGTGTAAAAATATTCACCTGATCATGACATGAATTTCAGTATGGAGTACATAAGGGACTATCAAAACAATCTCTGTACATTCCAAGATGATACATATGGAACGTGGGATGGCTCAGAAGGCCACAAAATATCAGATATAATGTTTATGCTGAAGAGAAAACAGCAGGCTCCTGGACACTGGTGACCAGTTATCCCAGCTGCAATATCTGAAAGGTGCTAACAAATATAATAATAACTTTTGAGACAAAGAGAAAAAGTGAGGGAATAAAAAATGTGGCTGTCATGAATTTGACAAGGATAAATTATATGAAATAGATTTAATTGTCTCCGGGATCACTTCTCTACTGAAAAAGGGAGAAGTTAGATGTTTTATATATTCATGTGAAAATAAGCACAGTCTAATAAATATCATAAAAAATATTAGTAAAAAAAAGGCTAGAAGAGCTCACTATAAAATGGATTCTGACCTGACTGCACCACTTTCACTCAGAGCGGACATTCCTTTCTAGATGGCTCCTAGACCCATATTTTTATAACATTTTGGATAGATGGCATAATATAATGTAATATAAACAACGCAATCACTCTGAATTTTACATCAACATTTTAAATGCCACAAAACCTAGTTTTAAGACCACACAACTACTGAGCCCAGAGTATGCATCAGAGAGGTTAAATGCATGTGTGACACATTTTCAGAATGCAGGCCAAAGGAAAACTTCTCCCTGCAGGAAGGGTTTCCACCCTCGCTGCAGAGCAGCAGCTCTGTGGCTGAGGCACTGCAGGGAGGAGCAGTCTGAGTCTCTCTGAAGGACCTGTCCTTTTGAGCAGGAGTGTAAGGGCAGAGGAAAGGGTGTGTGCCTATTATTAATGCTGTTCTACCAGCTGGTAGTCTTTTGGAAACCAGGACCATTTTATAAACAATAAATTCTTGTTCTCACAGAAGTTTTTAGATGGGCAGAAGCCCAGAGCTCTGCCTTCCACAGGGGCCGTCACAAGCTTGAAAAAGTCACTGACCCCCCCATGAAACTAAAATTCAGGATATAAACATGAGGGAGAAGAGAAACAGCAGGCCATGTTATAAGTAATTTCTAAGGAAATATTTTCTACTAAGCAATTTGCAGATGCTGCAATGGACAGGAATACAAAGTGATTTTTTGATGCAGCTAAAGAAACCCATGAGGGTTTATTTGATGTTCAGCAAACCCTCAAGTCTCCAAAGCAGCAGGCTACATCACGTTAACATTTGAGATCGTCCACTAAGCAGGGAAAAACAATGAACAACACAAGTTAGGGAATGATTGCTTCTGCAAATGGAGGTCATCCAGCATCTGAACATTCCCATATTGTAAGCTCATTTTGTACTGACAGGCTCCATGCAATCTCCCACAAATTAAATGTCATCAGAAAGAGCCATGCTACTCATTTTTCTAAGGATTTCCTTGTACTAAATAAAACTTTGCTTACACTGGAGTAGATGTGTAATACCATTATAGAAATACAGTACTGTGCTCCACTTCAGGAAATTTTAATGACATTAAAAGTTTTACATGGCAAAAAATTATTTTGATTCACCAGAATAATTCTGTCACCAGAATTTCTGCTATTAATATTTCTCTAGTTCTTTTGCATCACAAGTCCTTTTGCTTTGCAGA